AACTATATAATTAATTGCCCAACATCAACTGTATTTTGCAGACAGAGAGTTACAGGACTATCTCCCAGACCAGACTCATACCCATAATACAAGTCAGAGCTTGTGTGTTAATGTAAATGCTGTAATTTGATTATTTTAATAAACCATGAAACTTGGATGGATTCGATGCTGGCGTGACCACAGTGCACACGTCTGATGTCGCTCACAGTGCTCCAAGGGATCGCTCAGGGATTTCACTGTGATGATTGGAACGTTAGGAGCCCATGTCACCACTGGTACCTCCAAACTGTGAAAGCAGATTCCAGATTCAATTGGAAAGTAGTATTAGATGAACATTTAGTGAAAGTACAACAGGAAAGTGATGATTTCTTTCTCCTAATACTGGAAAAATTGAACTGATCTCTCAGCGTTCCTCTGTGTTCTAGTGTTTCAGACGTGCCCGCTTCACAAGCTGAAGGTTCATCGTGGTTTGCAGGAAGCTGACTTCTTGAAACTACTCAGGTCTACCTTCCCTCAGCTGGCTGGAGATGAACCTTTTGAACTTTTTTTAAGGGCCAAGCACAACAAACTTAAACCTCTGAAAGGAGACTCTGTGACACCAGAGGAAATCATCAGACTTTCTCGGGGATCTACCCTCTACATACAACAGTCACTATGTCAAGAAGATTTAAGACTTAAGATCCGCATCCTTGAGGACCCTAAGATTGATAAGATCACATATATAAGTAAGTTTAAAGCTTTTAACCTTCAAAGATCTTTGGAAGGATTTGATGCCGTTAACGTTTTCTGCCTGTTATTAGCTCCTTAACTTGATTTAGAGGCTTTGCATGTCTCAGGAGTCCAACGTACTAGTCATCCAGCTCTCTGTGCAGGTTTGCTGAGTTACCTGTTTATTAGTTGATTCAGGAAAACATGTCTTCTAACTTGTCGATGACTGAAACTGCTCTGACTGTAGTCACACTACCCGCTGTCTTAAAAAACCTCATAACATTATAAAAGATTCCTCACACCCTGGCCACTCCCTGTTTGAACTGTTGCCCTCGGGCCGACGATACAAAGCAATCAGCCTAAGGTCAAACAGACTGAAACACAGCTTTTACCAAATCACAAAAATATGTCTTAATGCTGCTACTAAAAAATGTCCATCACGCTACTCCTGAAGTGATCTATGCACTGACTGAGGCATGTGTGTGGGGATGGATTTTATTTTACAAATTTTATTTAAATTTTACATTTGTATGGATGATGCATTGATCAGAGATCAATTCTAATTTCGTTCTACCTGTGACAATGACAATAAAGACATTCTGATTCTGACTTTGTGAGCTTCTCTGTTTTTTCTCAGTGTGTCAGAATCACCCGTCTCATGAGCTGAATGTTCCTCGTGGTCTTCAAGAGGCTGACTTCCTGGCTCTGCTTAGGTCCACTTTCCCTCAGCTGGCTGCTGGTGAACCTTTTACCATCTTAATTGGTCGCAACCACAATCTAATTCCTCCAAGAGTGGAGAGTATGACTGCAGAAGAGATCTGCAAGAACGGGACTGGGAATCCTGGTATTTACATCCGACTGAAGGTACTGCAAGAACCAATTTAACATCAGGGTGAAAACATTGTTAATAAATGTGGAGCATGTTGTTCTGAATGAAAAATCAGAAAAAAACTATTCTTTTACTTTTTGGTTGAAATTTAGGGTCCAGAGAAAAGGTCTGAGGACCCTCAGATGGATACGATCTCGCCCAATCGTAAGTTCAAAGCTTTTCAATTTATCTGTCCAGTACAATATTCAGTTATCACCACTGTGATCACATGCTGAGCTGAAATAATAAAGAGTAGCCGAGCATAGCTCCTACGGTGGTCAGGACACAGTTGTGACTATGAGGTCCTCTGTAGAGCTCTGTAGGCATGCTGCTGTGTGTGTATCACGGTTGGGAAGCTTGTGATGACCTGAGTTTGGACCAGTTTGTCAAAGCACTTCATGATTACTGGAGCACGAGCCACTACACAGCAGTCATTCAGAATGCTGATGGTGGTCATTTTTTGGTAGTGGTACCGTGATAGAGGACTTCAAGCAAGGCTGTCAGTGGTAAGGCTTAATGTTGGGGACATGGTCTCTTTGACTGACAGGTGGCTGTAGCTGTTCCTGAACCTCAACTGGACCTCTGGATTGTGTTTGTGCTCTTGGAGTAGTCAAAACACATTGAGCACCTTATTCCTAAACGAGGGACTACATCTGTAGCATTAACTTGGTTGGTTATGAACAGTGACACGAACCAGAAAATTGTACTATGCAAATTATGATGCAAACCGGTCCCCATCACGGACTCAAACATGGAAAACCACTTTTACCACCTACGCAACAACTTATGTCTAAAAATGTATAGCTTCATGTATTGGTGACTCCGCACCTAGTGCTGCTTGAGTGGCTCCAGCAGATTCCAGGAAAAACGTTGAAGATCTCTATCCAGAAGACTGCAGTTCTAGAAATAGCTAAGATACTGTTTAGGACCCTCAATCTCCAAAGCGTCTGGTATAGGACCCAAGCTCAAAGGATATGTGCCACAAAGAATTTATAAAGTGTCTGGTCAGTGTATAAAATTACAGGATACTCATCAACTTGCAGATGCAGATCTTAACATTGCTAGAAACTTTTTTTTTATCATTTCATTTATCTTCTATCATGTCACATTTGTTTTTTCTAAAATTTAACATTAAACATACTTTTGCAGACGACCAGCAGCTGTTTTCCATCTGTGAAGATGGAGGTGGTCCATTACTGTATAATCAGGAGCAGGACAAATATGAGCGGAGTAAGAAGTTACTTTGACATACATTGTCAAGGCTGTGTGCGCGCAGGACTCGAACACTGAATTGTAACTTCAGTGTTTTCTGCCAGCTGTATTTGCTGGCAGAAAACAAAACATAAACTGAGCAATGGAACTGAACACGAAAATACTGAACACGAAAACACACATAATGTGAAGGTACGACGCGACAACGAGCACAGGAAAACACAGGGCTTATATACACAGGGTAGTAATGAGGGAATGGGCAACAGGAGGGAGACACAGCTGGGAGAGGTCAGGGCTAATGAGACAGGGGGAACAAAGCTGCACACACTAACATAAGACAAAGACTGCCACAATAAAACAGGAAACATGAAACGCTACTCAAAGACACGGATTCAACACAGAGGGGCGGACAGAAAATGATACATGAAACTCAAACAATACATGAGACCACAATTACTAAAACATGGATAAACAGAAACATGAAACTCCAATAATAAACATCATCGTAATCATCATCATCAACACCAGCACAACAAGAGAACAAGAAAACAATCCATGATGCAAAGTTAAACCAAAACATAATAAACTCAAAATACTGGGTCCAACAGACCCAGAACCGTGACATACATGAATAAAGTTCAGTTCTAGACAGGGCTGCTGTTTCATGTCTCTGATGTATGATCAGTACACAAGTCTAATAATAACATTTCATTCATAATATAATATGATAATTAGGTAACTGCAGTCCTCAAGTGCCGGTGTCCTGCAAGTTTTAGATATCACCCTGGGTCAACACACCTGAATCAGATAATTAGTTTATTACCAGGCCTCTGGAGAACTTAGAGACATGTTGAGGAAGTAATTTAGGAGGTATTGTTTTTTTTTTTTTAATGAGCTGTGGTGGATCAAGAACACATCTAAAACCTGCAGGACACTGGCACTTGAGGCTCCTGATGTACTGTCTCCTGATAGCATCTCCATGATACCGGACACTAAGCTGACAGACACAGCAAACCTTATCCCCACAGCTTGTATTGACAACACATTCTCACTTCCAGAGCGTAACATTTTACGCTAGGTGACAAATCGTCAACATATTACGTTTTGCCGTGCCGGCCGGGTAATGGAGATAATGAGTGTGCCGACTAGAGAAAAATCAACCGAGAGCTTGGGTGACCAGGTTAGCGAAGAGAACACAGATGACGGTTCCAATGCCGGAGAGATTGTCGAAAGGCCAGAGAAGTTCCGTATTGAGGAGGTATTTCGGTTATTTGAAGTGTGACAAAAAGATAGCGCGCAATGTAAATTGTGCCGAAAGCATGTTCCCACAAAGTCTGGAAATACAACATACCTTTTTTTATCACCTGAAGCAGTGCCACCCACTAGAGCACGTTCAATCTCTGACTGAAATCGCTAATTCGTCATCAAAAACAACCAGGGGAATCCCTGTGAAGCAGCAACAGTCAATTGAGTCGGCATTCTCCACCATTACCATATGACAAAAAAGCTAAGAGACATAGCGACATAACGAATGCCTACTGCCTTGCTAAAGACATGCTACCAATAAACATGGTTGAAAATGAAGGATTCAAGCAGCCAATTAAGGTAATGGATCCTCGTTACCAACTTAAGTACATCTGCCCTGTTGAACTTATTATGGGAAATAAATATTTAAATCAAAACAAGCTGCTGATTATTTCACATTTTACTTGAGCAACAGCACATTTAAATCTTACAAATATAGTTATTTGGCTTTGGCTAACATGATAGTCTGAAGTGCACGGGCCATCATTGGGGCCGGGTGGTGATGTCCCTGCCCTGTTTCAAAAAATTACCCATCTTGGGTGTATAAGCATTTTACATCATTGGGCCCTCGCGACGTTTCGGCATTTCTTTCTATTCATTTCTGTGCCTCTCTTGGCTTTTATACTCTTTCTTTGCTCCTCCCACTCTTGGGTTTCAAACTTGTGTTTCTTAAAAATTCGTTCTTGCTTTTGTTTCTGTGTTTCTCTTTGCATGACTTTCTTGTCTTACTTTGCTTGTTTTCCCCTTACTTGTGACCTATTTGTCTTTAGCTGTTTACTACTTTTCTCTCTGTTTGTTTTTCGTGACTTTTTCTTGTCTTACGTAACTTGTTTTCTCTTATGACCTCTTTAGGGATAAGGTTAGATTTAGGACTGGAATACAGGGCTGGAACGTCTTGTGTGGGTTGTAGACTTCGGCTCATGTTACCACTAGAGTGAAATCACTACCAGGATTGAAAAGTGACCAAAGCATCAGCCAGAAAGCATACAGTCTAGCCCATTATTATTTATACCCCTGGCAAATTTTGACTTAAAGTTAGTTTTATTCAACTAGCAAGTTATTTTTTGATGGGAAATGACACAGGTGTTTCCCAAAAGATAATAAGATGATGTACAAGAGGCATTTTTGTGGAAAAAAAAATTCTCAGCTTTTATTTACATTTGAGCAAAAAGTGTTATGTCCAGAATTATGCATACCCTTCACAAACTGTCACAGTCTCTGGGAAAATCCAAAGTTCCATACCATTCCAAAGAATCCAAGCGGTTCTAAAGCATCCTAAATACCCTGATTAATTGGGAACTGTTCATCTGGACAAAGAACAAGACTTCTGGTCTTCTGTGGTTTTGTTTCGCTTAATGCGACTTATAATTCGGTGTGCCTCATGATCTGAAAAATACGGTAACTTCTACCTTTTCACCTTCCTTTCAAAGTCCAAGTTTTTGTGCTATGGTTAGTATCTTCCTCTGCCTTTTGGGTGCTACTGCAGGTGCCTTTGGTGGTGCAAAACATTTTGTTGACATACACAATGCGCTGTTTAAAAAAAAAAAAAAGCATGCAAAATTGGATTCAAAAAATTATCTGTGAAACAGTGAAGCCGGGAAAGGTGAACCACATTATAGCGAGGGACCACTGTACTGGTAGAGCATATGGGAGGAGGACACAACCCATAACAGCAATGCTCAGCGGCTAGTGGGTCAGAGAGGAGATCACAGCACCCTCTCTGAACAAGGTCCAGTAACCATCACAGTGGCAGACATCCAAGAAAGAGTCTCCAATATGAAGAGTTGGATAGCACCAGGCCCCGACATGGTTTACGCCTACTGGCTGACAAAGCTGACCTTCACTCCAAAAGCGTCTGGCAATACAAATTAACCAACTGCTAGTTGACGAGAGACACCCGGAATGGCTAACTTAGGGCCGGGCAGTCCTGATCCTCAAGGACCTCCAGAAGGGACCAGTCCCATCTAACTACTGGCCAATAACCTGCTTCAGAACCATGTGGAAGCTCTTGTTAGGCATCATAGCGGCTAAGATGAACAGGCACATTGGTCAATACATAAGTGAGGCACAGAAAGGGATGGGCAAGAATACGCGAGGGGCAAAACACCAGCTACTGGTAGACCGAACAATCAGCTGAGACTGCAAGGCCAGACTGGATAACGTGTGCACTGCCTGGATCAACAGGACCCTAAGAGCCTTCATCAGGAACTCAATGGGGATGTGGCGTACAACACTAGAGGCTTATTTCAAGTACATAACACAAGTCACCATCAAGAGCATCTACCAAGGAGACGCTCTGTCCCCACTACTGTTCTGCATAGGCCTTAACCTCCTCAGTGAGATCATTGACAAGACTGGCTACAGATACTGAATACGGAACGGAGCAGTTGTCAGCCACCTCCTGTACATGGATGACATCAAGCTGTATGCCAATAGTGAACGAGACATCGATTCACTGATCCACACCACCAGGATATACAGCAATGACATCGGAATGTCGTTCGGACTGGAGAAGTGTAGTCGGATGATAACAAAGAGAGGGAAGGTAGTCAGAACTGAGGGGATCAAACTACCAGAAGGCAACATTGCATACATAGAGAACAGCTACAGTTACCTGGGGATCACACAGGCAAATGGGTTCCATGAAG